AGGGGGTTTGGGGGCAGAGGGGATTTAGGGGACAGTGTAGAAGGACTTGGGGGCAGAGCTGTGGTGCGGGGGGGGCATTTGGGGTTTGGGGGGGTGGTGCAGGAGGTAACAGCCAGCCCTGCCGACCCCCAGGTCTGCCTGACACCGCCCCCCCAGCCCCCCCCACCGGGACTGACCCCACCCTCAACGGGGGGCCGGAGCCGGAGCCCCCCCTGGGCGCCGCCGAGGCCATGGAGCGGCTGCAGGTGACCCCAAAACACCCCCCAGCCCCTCTCCTGCCCCAGAGGGACCCAGGAGATCCACGTCCCCCTCCCCTAACCTGTGGGGGACCCCCCGAAATCGTTCCCTGTCCCAGGAGACGGAGAAGATCATCGCGGAGCTGAACGAGACGTGGGAGGAGAAGCTGCGGCGGACGGAGGCCCTGAGGCTGGAGCGGTGAGGGGGGGCCCCAAACCCTGCCATCGCTCCCAAAACCCTCCTCAACCCCCCACAGCCCCTCTGAACTTCCTCCTGCCACCCCCCAAATTCCCTGCAGCACCCCCAGCCCCCCTCATTGCCCCCTAAAACCTGATCCCTCCACAGGCTTCCCAAACACTTTTTATGTACCCTCGAGTCCCCTCATGGCCCCCCCAGCCCAACACCCACTCCACTGCCTCCTAAACACCCTTGGGCCCCCCAGGCCCCCTTGGGCCCCCCTAACCCCCCCGTGCCCTCCAGGGAAGCACTGCTGGCTGAGATGGGGGTGGCTCTGCGGGAGGACGGCGGCACCGTTGGCGTCTTCTCCCCTAAAAAGGCAAGTCAGGGGGGGCTGGGGGGGCCCCTCAAAACCCCACAGCCTCTCCCCCACCAGGGGGGACCCCACTCACCCTGACTTTGGGTTGCTGTTTCTTTTCTGCCCCCCCCAAAAGACCCCCCACTTGGTGAACCTCAACGAGGACCCGCTGATGTCCGAGTGCCTCCTCTACCACATCAAGGATGGTGTGACCAGGTGAGCGGGGGGCTGGGGCCCCCCCAAACCACCCAGGGCCCTCCTGAACCCTTCAGGGCCCCCCAGACGCCTCGGGCCCCCCAATTTGCCCTGTGCCTCCCCAGGGTGGGCCAGGTGGACGTGGACATCAAGCTGTCGGGGCCGTTCATCCGGGAGCAGCACTGCCTGTTCCGCAGCTGCCCCGACCCCTCGGGGGAAGGTACGGAATTCAGAGGGGGGGTGCCAGATTTTGGGGTGCCCCCCCTTGCCCTGCCCCCTTCCTGCACCCCCTAATTGCTCTTTCTCCCCCCCCCAAACGCTGGCACTGGAGCAGGTCACCGTGGCCCCCCCAGGTACCGCTCCCCCTGTGCCGGCGGGACGGGGGAGGGTTGGGGGGTTGGGGGTGGGATTTGGGGTCCCCCCACCCCGGCTTAGCAGGGGGGTGACCCACCCTCCCCTCGTTGTCCCTCCCCGAAGTTGTGGTGACGCTGGAGCCGTGTGAGGGGGCTGAGACCTACGTCAACGGGAAGCAGGTGACGGAGCCGGTGGTGCTCAAGTCGGGTAGGGCCCGCCCCAAATCCCTCTGTGTTCCCCCAAAATCTCTCTGTGTTCCCCCAAATCCCTCTGTGTCCCCCAAAATCCACCCCAGACCTCTATGTGTCCCCCAAATTTTTCCTCCAATTCACTGACGTCCCCAAATCCCCCCAAAACTCCCCGTGACCCTCCCAAATCCATACGTCCCCAGATTTCCCCTAAATCCTCTCTGTTTCCCCCACCCTGTTCCTAGGCTACCGCCTCATTTTGGGGAAGAACCACGTGTTCCGCTTCACGCACCCGGAGCAGGCGCGGCGGGAGCGGGAACGGGGGGCTCCCCCCGGGCCCCCCCTGGACTGGAACCTGGCGCAGCGGGAGCTGCTGGAGCAGCAGGGCATCGACATGCGCCTCCAGAGGTGGGGGCACCCTCGGGGGCACTTGGGAACCCCCCAGGCACGGGCTGGGGGTCTCACCCCCTGTGCTCCCCCCGCCCCAGGCTCCAGGAGCTGGAGAACCAACCCCAGGCAGAGAAGGAGACAGTGGAGCAGCCACAGGTGAGGGGCCCCCGGGGGGGGAAGCTGGGGCTAATTTGGGAATTCTGTGGGTACATCTGGGGGTCGCCTGTGTCACTTTGGTGTCCCATGAACGTTCCTGGGTGTCCCACAGGTGTCCCTTGAGTAGCTCCTGGGTGTCACCACTGTCCCTTGCCTCCCCTCAGTGTCCCCTGGGTGTCCCTTGGGATGTCCCCCGGCTGCCCGAGCTCTGCCCTGAGCGGCCCCTGCATCCCCCACGCTGTCCCTGCACGCACCCACCCGCTCCCCCGTGTCCCCCCGCAGCCCCCCACGACGGACCCCCGGTGCTACGAGGCCGGCTGGCGCCTGATCTCGTCCCTGCGCGCGGCGCTGCCGGCGCCCGCCGTGCGCTCGGTGCTGCGCCGGGCCGGGCTCCCGCTGACGGCGCCGGGCAAGCGCCGGGAGCCACTTCGCGTGTACCAGATCCCGCAGCGGCGCCGCGGGGGCTCCTCGGCCCCGACCCCAACCCCGGCCTCGCCCTCGTCCTCATCGTCGCCTCAGCCCTCGTGGGTGACCATGGCCGACCTGAAGGCGCAGGCGGTGCGGGAGCTGAGCCTCGAGGTGGCCCTGCGGGAGCCGCGGCCGGCGCGGCGCGAGCTGGAGGCGCTGAGCCTGGCGCGCCTGCGCGAGCTGTGCCGGCGCCACGGCAAGCGCGAGCCCACCGAGCGCGACGGCTGGCGCGCCGTGGCCAGGGACGTGTGGGACGCCGTGGGCGGCGGCGGCGGCGAGGACGAGGAGGGCGGCGGCGGCACCTGCGAGCAGGTGAGCGAGGTGGAGGGGCTGCGGCTGCACCTGGACAGGCTGGCGGGGATCCTGCGCGAGGTGAAGCGGCAGAACAGCGCCAAGGACGAGCAGATCCGCGCCCTGCGCGACCGCGTGGGGCAGATGGAGCGAGTCATCCCGCTGCCGCTGGTGAGGGGCACCCCCGGGCTGAGCCCTGGCACCCACAGCCTGACCTAGGGCACCCCACAGCACCCCAAAGAGCCTTAGAGTGCCTGACCCACAGCCTGACCTAGGGCACCCCACAGCACCCCAAAGAGCCTTAGAGTGCCTGACCCACATCATGACCTAGGGCACCCCACAGCACCCCAAAGAGTCTCAGAGTGCCTGACCCACAGCCTGACCCACAGCCTGACCTAGGGCACCCCACAGCACCCCAAAGAGCCTTAGTGTGCCTGACCCACAGCCTGACCTAGGGCATCCCCAGCCTGCCCTACTGCACCCCATGGACCCCTAACGTAGATCCTGCCACACACAGTGACCTAGACCTCCCCTTCCCACCCTGTGGCCCCCCCAGACACATCCCTTCCACCCTATGCCCCCCCTCCCTGCCCCACAACCCCCCAGACCTTCCACACACCTTCCTTGCCCCCCAGACTCCCCTAACCCCCCTCTCTTCCCCTCCCCACAGGATGATGATGCCGAGGCCGAGCCCCCCGCCCACGAGCCCCCCCAGGACGCCCACCCGGACCCCCCCCAGCCCAGCACAGACCGGGGGTCGCCCCCCCCCTCGCCCCCGTCGGCGGCGGCGGCGCGGCTGTGCCGGCTCATGGAGCAGGACCCGGCGTTCCGGCGGGGGCGGCTGCGCTGGCTGCGCCAGGAGCAGGCCCGGCTCATGGCCGGGGGGGGCCCGCAGCCCCCCGCCAGCCCCCGCCGCCCCCCCCGCTTCAACGCGGCCCCCCAGGACTCCAAACTGCGCTTCCCCTTCAAGAGCAACCCCCAGCACCGCGTGGCCTGGGGGGGAGGCGGAGGGGGGGCCGCCACCCCCCCATCCGAGCACAGCCCCCCCCCGCCCCCCTCGGGGCGCCCCCGCCGGGGGTCCCTGGACGGGGGGGCCCCACCGCCCCCCGTGGGGACCCCCCCTCGTGTCCGCCGCCAGCGCTCGGCCCCCGACCTGAAGGCGCGGGGCCCCCCTGCTTAGGGGAGTGCGGGGGGGTTGGGATTTTTGGGAAACCCCCCACCATGGACAATCACGGCCTCTTCCCCCCACCCCACAATGGGGGGGTCTCCCTGCCGGGGGGGCCCCCCAGCTGCTGTCACACTGCCCGCCCCCCCCCCCGCGTGTGCGTGTGTCTGTGGGGGGCGCCCCCCGGTCAGGGGGACCCCCCCCAATGCAGGGGAACCCCTAATTAGAGGGGATCCCGCTAATTAAAGAGGGAACCCCCCATTTCGGTGCCTCCGCTCCGCTGGCCCCGCCCACTCCAGCCTGGCACGCGCTGGACACGCCCCTTGGGGCGAGGCACGAGAGGGCTCCGCCCACGTCTTGGCCACGCCCATTTCCTCATTATGTCTTCGGGGCACGGGCCCTGAAAGCCCCGCCCCTCACCAATTTTGGGGGTGTGATGGGCGTGGTGTGCATGGCTCCACCCCCTGGCGGCGGCCCCGCCCCTCCCACGCAGGCAGTGCTGGGCCGGGGGCGTCTCCCCAAGCCCCTCCTCTTTTGGGGCGTGTCCCCTGCGGGCCCCGCCCCTTTGTCCCCCCCGTCGCCCACCCCCGTGGCCCCCGGGCCCCCCCCGGCCCATTCGCCCCAGCCCGGCCGCGCCATGAGCCACCTCGGGGCCCCGCTGCTGCTGCTGGGGCTGCTGGGGGCGCTGGGACCCCCCCCGGCCGCGGGGCAGGACCCGGGCCCGGCCCCGAGCCCCCACCCCACCGCCCGCCCCAACGCCACCAGGTGACGGCACTCCCCGGGCACCGGGACCCCTCCCCGGCACCGGGACCCCCGGGTGGGGACGCGCCTCGGACGGGACGGGACCCCCTGGGCACCGGGATCCCTGGGACAGGACACCCCCAGGATGGGACCCCCCGGGCACCGAGACACCCCCCGGGGCGGGACAGGACCCTCAGACACCGGGATCCCTCGGACAGGACCCCCCCGGGATGGGACCGGGCCTCCCCCAGAACGTGGCATCCCGGGATGGGATCGACACCCTCCGGGACGGCCCTTCCTCCCGGGACGGGACCGACCCCCTTGGCCGGGACAGGACACCCCTGTCCGGGACTCCCTCCTGGGAACACGGACACCCCCCCCTCAGACCCAGGACCCCCCCAAGA